AGCTGGTAGCAGAGACATCAGCATCTCACTTTCTGCTGGGAAATCCCTCTGAAAGCTCTAAAACTCCTTCTTGACTATTTCAAGACTTTCTGTACTTTTGCAGTTAAACCTTCTACTTTTAATCATTAAGCACAAAATAAAATCAACTCCAAATAAATGAATTAATGCAAAACAGAACCTGGGTCCGATTTTCCTCCAAAAACACATGATCATAAGCATGCTGGTTAAAAATAGAACGCTACAGCAAATGACACTTCTTTCAGTTCCTCTTGAAACCAGGAGAAACAAAACCAGCATTGGGCAACATTAAACATTCAAACGTGGACATGTGTACCGAGAGGGCGAAGTTGAGGACTTTCTGGATGAGGTCGGGGGCAGAGATGGCGCCCAACACTCGCTCAATACGGTTCTTCTCCTCCTGCATGTCTGCTTGTTTGTGGAGCTAAAAGGGCCGAGTGACAAACAGACATATTAGGAAGACAGAAGGAAAGAGAGAATGAGATCATCAGAGTACGGGTGAAAGAAAACGTGTGACATATTTACTTGTTTTAGGATGATAATGGTCAATCATTTGTTAGTGTAATTGTCCTTGATGATATTTATGTCAGTCTGACAGGTTAGCTGCAGTCTTACCTTCAGCATCGTGTCCAATGTGGCACTGTCTCCATGCTTCAGCACTGTTAAATACACCTGAAAACAACACGTATACAGTTAAAGTGACTCCAACGTGATTCCTCAGTGCAGTTTCTGACATTGTGGCTGTAGAAACACTTCACTGGGCTGTTTTATTTTGCTCACCGGGCTCCTGAGGTCTGCAGGAAGGACCTGCTTGCCATCCACGTGGTCCCTGAATCTCCGCCGGGCCTCCTCCAGTGTGGGTTTGTGTCCTGCCTTCCCCAGCTTCCCCAGTACCAGTCCTCTCAACAGGGCGTCCAGATGACCTGCACCACAAAACCATCACGCTCAAGTTACTGGCTTTCCTTCGCCACAGCGCTGTGATCTTCAAGAGGACATCCAGGTCTCTCAGGAGGCGGACACCTCGCTCAGACATATTATGCTACTCTATAGTAATGTATGATTATATACTGGATAAAAGATTTCCCACAGCGGTAAAGGTATGTATCCGGCATGTATGAGGGATTAATAGACAGTAAAGGTTATCTGAAGGAACATAAGAGTAAGAAAATATATAACTGGTTCAAACTGTTCTGAGTAATCAAAGAAATAACCACAATAATAGTAACACAGTTATAAGCAGTACTCCAAATGTCCACAAGAGGTCTCTCTCGATTCCAGCAGGCGTTGTGTGTGGCCACCGTCAGCAGCACGAGTCTATAGTCACAAATACGCGAGCTCCTCCTCACCTTCCCCTGGTTTGCTGTCCCAGCCGAGCTCCAGGCCGATGGGGGTGAACAGGTCCCGGATGAACTCCTGGATCTCCTCGTGGAAGTCGGTGTGGGACAGCAGCGAGGACAACACTCCCAGGTTGCAGCTGAGGTCGCTCCACACTGTGTAGTTGGGCTCGTTGACAAACGCCTCCATCAGCTTCAGCACCTCCACCGTGCTGATCATCCCGGCACGAGACTGAAGCCACAAAACAGTTAGGGTCAGCAAAAGGCATTCAGAAATACAGTTTCCTCATTCTGTAACATAAAGCTGCCCTTTGTATGAACACCTGCTGTAAACATTCAGTGACCCACAAAACACACAATGTGATCTGTTCTAAAATAAGAAAATGTCTAATCATTTATTCATCAGATTTGGTGACTTTTTGGGGTTTTTGATATGAGTGAAGTGACTATGTCGCGGTCTATATCATTTGATACAAAAGACAAAGATGTGTGGGGGAAAAAGGACAGATTTTTTGGTGTAAAGGCAACTGTTTGTTTTTTATCTCGGAGTCTGAACACAGTTTATAAACCGTAGAAAAAATGCAGATGTGCAGATACTCTTCTGTCTAACAGCAGTTTACTTTGAGAAGTGGTTCTCGATTTCTATCTCTCATATCTGTGTCATCATAACACCGGGTGGAAAGCAGCGGCACTCGTCGAATACGTGGAATTTCAGCTCATACTGCATTTAAACGGGTTTCAGCATTTGTGAAATGAAGTCACGCTTTTCTGACTGTGTCTCCCTTCCCGCCATGACTCTTGCTTTATGTTTCCAGCAGTGTAGAAACACGAGTTTGGCGTCACAATGAGCAACTGTCAGACATCGATAAAGGAACTGATAAAGCTCAGAGACATTTGGATTCTGACGGATTGGACAATTTGAAACTTGTTCTCGTTTCCCAAACTGTCTGACACATCATGTAATGTCGTAATTGTTTGTTTCGTGGTCAGGTCGAGGTCAGTGTTACAAAACGTTTCCCGTGGCGATGAAGCTTTTTCCCCACCTGATATCTGAGTATTAACACATTGATAAAATATTTAAGACGACAAACCGTTCAGTAAACATCCATGTGAGGACAGAAACTGTAACCGAACCTATAAAGTTTCAGTTTAATGTGGTGACAAGAAATCAATCCTGAGGTTTTCATTTAAAAACATCAGACCATCTGGGATTAAAGTATAAAGATTTATGATGAGATGTTATCTGATCCTCTACCCTGATCGTTTCTGGTTAACTGGAGTTTGATCCTTTCATCTTAAACAGACATCGCATAAAAAGAAACAGAATAGATGGAGGTGTTACACAAAACACTAAAACTTCTTCACCGTACTGACTCACAATAGCAGCTGATGAACAAAGAGTCAGTCACTGTGTCTCATCATTTTTTACATTTATCATCAGAACAGAGTGGCCACACTAGGTAAAGTCTTACCTTTCCTAAAGCATTTCACTGTGGGAAGTAACGTCACCACCCTAAAGATACTTTATATTGGGCAAACT